AATCGTGACATCTCTCCTTTTGCCATGGGCTAATCACCAATCATATATCCTCGTATCACACCTTTACTATCACAATTTTTACTTGCTTATTTAAAAGTGGTATGATGTCCCCCTTTGAAAGGATCTCATGATAGCTCTCCACCTACTCAACCCCCCTTCACCCTTGTGTTGGGAATGCAAATCAGATCTGCTCTATTGTTACGCAGTCCTCCTTCCGGAATCTCCCTCTTGCCTCGTAGGATCCGTCTACTATCTCCCTGTTTCAAGTATTTCACTCTACCCTTGTCACCATACTTGTGCTACTCGAGGCGTTATTTCCCATACTCTGCCTCTGAGAGACTAACTTGAGGCTAAAGCTCCTGAGCAATTCTCATTGTAATTGACTACGTCTATGTTAAGGCAAGCATACTGTCAGCCAACTAGCTCTAGTCTCCTCCGCGTCTATTATGTTTCTGTCCGTAATAGAAAGCCTATGACTTCCTATGCCCTGACTGACAATGCTCACTGACGATTTCGATGAAACGTCCACGGTCCGACACTGGAAATCATCATGCACACTATGAACTCCAGATTAGGTGTGTTCCTCTAGGTCTTACTACATGACGGATGAGGGCTCAGCAAATATTCATTAAGGTCGCAAGAGGGTGCGCCGAGGACCTATTCACACAAATCTACAATCACAGCAATCCTCCTACGACTTTCAGTGAGACCAACTTACGAATCTCTTTACTCATCTCTTCATGTGAAATGAAAAGTATTTTAATATAAATCTATTAAGGAATTCTATATAGACAATATAATTTTGTATGTAAATAGAGTTTCGAGACTACCAGTAAATCAGTAATATGAGCTGTATTCACCCTATTTCCTTTAAGGTGATGAAGGACTGGTAGTAGAATGTTGTCACAATGAGTAGAGCTGACGTTTCCATTGAATTTCACATAGCATTCCTTTCCCAAAAGTTATCCTCATCCAGAGTAGACTGCAGTTTCGACCTCGCATCGATCTTATCGACACCCCCAGCGGGAGACGAACCGTGACAACGCAGAATGGGAGCTTGACACGTTAACCACTCGGCCACATTTCTACGAGTGCCGTTGAGTCACGGGGCAGATGTGAATTTCAAGGAAGGCCAGGCCTTTTTCCATATCACATTCTTTGGTGGGAATGTCGATGAAGCAAGCGTATATTTGCTATAACAATCGACTACTTTACTTATTTTTCGCATGTAAGTCGAGTTTGGAGACTACCAGTAAATCAGTAATAGGAGATGGGAAAGCACGGCTATGTGAAATTCAATGGAAACGTCAGCTCTACTCATATCAGTGTGGGAAAATTCTACTACCAGTCCTTCATCACCTTAAATGAAATAGAGTGAATACATCTCAAATATAAGTTCGCTTCATCAACATTCACATCATAAAATGTAATATGGGAAAATTTTTGGCATTTCATTAAATTTACATATGGCTTGTGACCCCAGAGCGCTCGTGGCTGTGGCATAATGGTTAACGTGCCGAAATTACACGCCGCACTGTAATGGTTCAACTCCTGGTGGGGATGTTAATAAGACCTAAGCGAGGTTGAAAATGAAGTCCACCCTTAATGAGAACACCTTATGGGAAAGCAAGGCTATAAGAAATTCAAAAAAAACATCAACCCTCTTCATATCATTGTGGGAAAGTTAAACTACCCGTCTTTTATCCACTTAACAGAAAAAAAGTTAACATAACTTAAAGGCCTGGTTGGTGACCTAGTTCTAAAGAAGCCTGGCATTTCTCACAAACGATATCATCTCGCATGTCACTATGTGTAGTGGCATTAGGTCACTGTTAAGTAGGGCCATTGGACATATGGTAAGAAGAAAGTAGAGTTCTCGAGTAAAAATTATTGTCACAGATTAAACAAATGAATTTGAGGAAGTTTTTCCTTGTGATTGCTTGAGAAAAAGATGTAGGTTAAACGTTGACTAACCAGATGCCATATAAAGGAAAGAGACACTCTACTTTCCTTGACATTTGCCGGAATACCTGATC